TCCGGGCCCGCACAACAGACTCCGAGACCAGACAAACAACCGCTACCTAAACCTCAGCTACAGTACAGCTGACTCGGAGTGCTTACACAGTTAGCTTGGTGTACAATACGTGGATTTGTAATGTGTTTGTTAGTGCAAACAGAGAGCAGAGTGATAGCAGTCAAGAAACACGCTCACCGGATACAGGAAGTCACCATTATCCACATTCTCTCAATAGGTGGTCTGTTGTACAAATTTTACTTTTCAAGAGTTTGTGTAATAATGCTCTTTTTTTCTGATCATTTAGACAATTTGATCCATATTTTCTGCGTCATTACACTCTATCAGCCAAAAAATGCAGAACAAAATTAGTTTTTCTTATTCCTGGTAAGACATTTGGTCAAATAAATTGCAAAATAAATTGAGAGTTTTCTATAAAATGTGTAAAGGAAGCAAGTCTCTTAAGTAATATTTCTGCTACACTGAAAGTGGCTGATCACGCAACTTTGGACGTAGAAGGTCCAATACTGATTGAATAACTGGTATCGATACTAGTTTTAGTATGTTTGAACACCCTAATTTTCATGTGTAACGTGCTGTAATAAGATCAGTGTTCCTCTTTTGAATTCTTGGCGCTGGTCTCTGTGGAATCCAGCAGGGTTTGGCTTGGTCCCGTCACTTGAACTGCAACTTTAGTAGCTGCTCCTGGGGCCCAGCCCTGCACACTCCCGGGTTAGACCATAGGAGCCAGTCAGACATGCACAGAAGAGACACGCTGGCTTGGCCTGCTTCAGCTGTCCGCCTGTCGCAGCTGCTCCTCAAGGTGTCTGAGGCTGCCAACTATTCACCCATTTTATGCTTCAGCAACAGTTTTATACAACAGTTGTGTCGGGAGGAATAATACTGGTTTTGTTTCGGATTTATTTATTGAAGAGTTAGGGCATAGCTTTCCATTAATTTTCAATTACACTCTTGTCTTAAATGTTAGAACGTACATCAATTTGTACTTTATTATCAGTATACATACTCACATGAGAATAGGATGCTTTGGTTTTTTGTTGGCATTTTGTTATTGATTTTTATTTTTTTTTAACTGTTGAAAGTGCTACATAGATTCATTTAACAGTATTTTTCTTTATCATTTCCTTCCCTCAAGACTAGATGGAAAATACAGTTAGTCTTTGGAGGAAGGTGTTTTCAGTGAGGTTCCTTTTCACATCCTTTTCCTGTCAAGTTGTGTTAATAATAACTTCTGTTTTTGAAACTGTCATTCCCAATGGCTTTATTTAAGAACGTCTACCAACCATAGTGACCCAACTGACGTTTCCACAGCATTTATTTTAGGCAAGAAAGAAAGTAGAGACTGAGCATCTGTTGACAGGAGCATCCCTTTAATATATTTAGCTGCTGATTGAGACAGCCTGACCACACTGACACTCAGATCTGACCTGTAGAACTGTGTGTGAGACAGAATTGCTGGACTGATTGAAATTTGCTGACTTTAAGTCAATTTGTTGACTCTGAGCCATCACATGAACTTTGCCGTTTCTCAAAGGGCCTGTAACTTTATTTTCTAGTTTATCCAGTCTTCCGGTGCTCACATGCCATCAACAAGGTCTGAAAAACAAGGTTTGTCAATGCATTGGTGCGCAATCGCATTCTATAGAAACAAACATGTTTGAATGAATGTCTTGACAGAAACGAAGTAAAGTCTTTTGCAATCTAAGCTAGTTTCGTGTTTTGTCATGTACTTTTTCGAATAGTAGATTGTACAGGTCCCACCTTGTGCTAACATTAGCAACACCTGTGCAATACTAGCAGCTGCTAACACACCTTTGAAAAATAACTTTCTCGTAGAAACTAAAGCATGGGGGTCGAGTATTGCGTCAATGTGTGTGTTTGCATGACTGGGTCTAAAGGGTGTATATGGCCTTTACGCTCATCTTTCCACCCCCTGATGCTACCGTTTGAAGGAGGCGTCACCGTGACGATGGCACAACCATGCATTGTGTGAGACTCCTCCACTGCTTAGACTGAGGCCCCTGAATGAGTGGAATGCCAGACTCTACTCCGCACTCATTCTCCTGCTGCACTCTCCCACGACTAATCCCCACCCCGGCTCATTTACACTTACACCCACCCTCGCCTGTACACCTCCCCTCTCTTGCACTTCCTGTACAATTGTGGAAGCTTCTGGTCAAAACTGAATTCAAAACTCTTTTAAAAACTTGCTACTCACTAATTATCTAATTGTTTTGTCAATAATTGTTGGCAACAACCCTGTAGAAACAGGTGTTTTCAGGGTTGTTCCTGATCCAAAAGTGTTACCAAATCTGTAACACTAAATTCCTCACCAAAGTAAATATGGCTTTCTAATATTATATGAAGATCTAAAATAATATACAACACGTTTGCCATTCCGTGTGAATCTTGCAATAGGCATTTCCTATTGGATTTGGGGATGTCCTGTCTTCATAGACAAACGATACACAGGAAATTGTGGTAATTGTTTTTCTTGTCCAAGGGTTAGTTTTTATGGATTATTCACTCCATGAAACCGTGGATCCACAACATAATTGGAACATTCACAAAATCATCTTTTAGTTTGGCAAACATAAAGAGGAGCATTATTATTGTGCTTTGACTTGGGTGGTACAGCTGTGTTGTCCTATGACAAAAAAAATCACTGTTTTCTGCATCTTAACAGAGTAGTGTTACGCTATTTAAATTATTACCTGGGCTTGTGGTGATGGTGGTCTAGTTGCTTTAAATCCGTCCCATCCTGTTGGAGTGACAAAACATACACCGTCTGAACGAGCGCAAACAGAGGTTTCTCACATCTACAGCTGTCAAACACACAGCCTTGTTTAACCGCACCACCTTGTAACAACTGAGCAGCAGCGGACCCCAAACCTCTCCGAGGCCCTGGTCTTCACACGCCACTGTCTGTCTCTTTATTTGTAGTAGTAAAGCATTTTATTGGTGGTGCAGGTCCTGTGACAAGACCTCGCAAACTTGTTTGTAAAGATCAGGGCTCCTTTTGATTAAATTGTTTCCGGAAGTTTCTGTTAGGGATACAAGTAATGTAGTAATATTACAATGTAGAAGTAAACGGGAAGTTATGGTTAACATTATGATATTAATATTTAGCTCAATTTATTATAATTTTGTCATAATGATTTTGTATTTTCCTTAGGTATATTTTTAGATCATTTTAAATTTTAGGCTGTAGTTTAGTTAAATATTTGACAAAAAAAAAGCTCAAGTCATGCCCTTGGAGAGCGTCATAGTTGGATTGTTTGGTTTAAAAAATAAAAATACTTTTAATTCTGCAGTCATTATAGAATTATAGAGAACAACTTTTCCTCTGCATGTTTAAGTCTGTGAGGTTCAAAAAAAGTATACATTGATTACTAGATTAGTTGACAACTATTTCCATAATAGATTAGTTGTGATTCATCAACTAGCTTGGTGAGACCTTTATTCCTCCCATAATCGGGAACTGAACAGTAAAGAAATGCTTTTTTGTATTCTGTTCACGCCTTACTGTATATTGAAAGTTGTTACACATTCTAATGTACATCTCAATCCACTGTATGAAATACATTCTGAATCTCAGACGAGCCCAAAAGATGCAAAAGACCACAGCTTTCCAAAATAAGATGGCCAAAGTTGCTAGCGGACAAGGTCGCTCTGGCAACATTTGAAGGAAGTCAGCCGTTAGTTTGTGGACCTCAGGGGAATTGTTGTGGACCATTGTTCTCAGGACGTGTGGAGAGGAGGGGGCGCGTTTCCCCCCTCTCACCACTCTGCGTCCTCTTCCTGCCTACCGTTACTGCATGCTCAACTCTCCACTGACTTGTGCCGCTGCTGGGAAGCCTTTGAACGTCAGCTGCTCTGCTGTGTTTACTTTTGGATTTAACAAGAACAGAAGGTGATCAATTGTGATCCAATTTATCACACTACTGAATGTTAGGAGCGCATGGAAGGTAAGCCTGCTTTGGCCGCGAGTACCTTTTCCACTTGACCTTCTATTCAGGAAGTTTCATTGTGTTGTCTTTTTATTTCATATGTCCTTTTCAGTATTCAAGACCTTTTTACCATCTAGATCATAGCGGAAAACCACCAAAATCACTGAATCCATACGTTGTTTAACAGATTGTGTCCTAATTTGGCCAGTTTCCCAGTGCGTTTTTGTGCCAACAGCATGATCGTGCTCTCACGCGACACATTTGCTCATCTTAAGTGGCACGTTTTTGATCAGTGTGAAAAGTCCTGATTATGTGCAGATTATGATGTGACAACCAAGTCCAGGCCTATTGAGCAGAGCAGATTGTACTGTGTCGCAGGGATTAGCAGTGGTGTGTTAGGCTTGAAAATAAATACAGATCTTTGAGTCTTTGAGTCTTTGAGTAAGTTTAACTTCAAATGGTTGCCGCGACTCAGCAACGGATGAAGCGGAAGAAGATGGTTGGATCGATGGATGGTTTATTATCACTTTATACTTTACTGCCTTGTATCCCAGATCACTTTATTATCTCATAATTCAGAAAACTTCATTTGATAACCTGTACTATTGTACGTCTATTGTGTGTATTTATGTATTAGAATTGTATTATGATTTTACCATTTAATTTAATTAATTTCTGTTATATTTTATCGTTGTAATTCATTCATTCTTGATTAATTAGTTCTTATGTACAGTAAGAAGTCTATTTGCATGTTGTTACTTACTAAAAGCAATACTACTTACTAAGCAATAGAACAAATATTTTATTTTAAAACATGATCAAGGCTTACAAAAAAAAATACATTGGAACAAAAAGGTCACCCAACAAGTCAATAAATGGATGTGGTGTCCTGTGCACGGGGCGAGCACAGTAGATGTAATGGCCTGGGGCTTTGACTGTTATAAGCGCATATAAATGTATTGGGTGTGGTTATTTATTAGTTTAAAAGGCTCGACAATGGCACAGCATTATGTACATGGAATTATACATTATCTGTTGTGTGTTTTGCAGAGATGGTCTTCAGAGATGGCAGCCTGCACCTGGCTCTAAAGCAGCTATGTTGGTGAAGGTGAACAGCATGAGCCGAGGTCAGGCCATGCAGCAGCAGCAGTTCCTTCAACTCAGCGGCTCGGGCAAGACCAACACCTTAATCATACACACCGCAAACAGCAAGCAAGGAGGACACTCGGCACAGGGCTATAAAACTGCTCCTTCTGGCAAATCAGGAATAGATGCACGGCACGCTCATCACCTGAGGAAAGCCAGCAATGGAAGCTTCTGTTTGGTTGCAGATGGTGGTCATCCTAGTCCCCGGCTGCATCGCTCACAGACCAGTACCCCTCGCCCTGTTTCCCCTCAGTACAACTACTCCACCCCGATCTATGATGAGCCAGTAACTGAATGTCCCATTTATGATGAACCTCCCATGGACATGGAGATAGAGGGTGCTCATCTCTACAATGGACAGCAATTGTCCCATCTGACACCCACTCAGAGCCTGCAAAAACCGAAGTTTTTACAGCATCCTACACCTGGTTCCAGACACCGGAGGAACCCCTCCTGCTCAGACTACAGTCCAGCTGGACTTGAGTGCATCAAACACATGGTCAATATTGACCCAAAGCAAGGACCTGCAACTAGCTCCCCTGTACCCACACGTACCCCTTCCCCTACTTCTAGACAGGAGCCTCTGGTACCCCAGACCCATCCCCAGTCAAGAGGACAGGTACGAGAAAGGGAGGCCACCCAGGCTCCCAATACACTGGACAAAAAGCAGAACTGGAGAGTCCTGGAGGCGACAGTTCAGCGTGCTATGGATGCTCGTCACAGCCGCCAAAGCAGCCAGGCCTCTCAGGACTTCCCTTCATCAACACCCCAGCCCACAGCCAACTACCAGGACTCTGGTTACTCTACTGGGCCCTCCCCCAGTCTGAGGAGGAAAAGTCGGAGGAGAGTTGGACCTGGGGCTGTAGCTGGAGGTAGACCAGGCTCAGTTGGAAGCACTGGTGAGCTGTGCGCCCATGAGAAGCTGATGGCTGAGATGAGAGAGGTGGTCAGTCGCTCCAACACCATGAGGGAGGTACGTGCAGGGCTAGACCCCCAGGACATGGTGGACAGAGGAGTCATTCCACGCACACGCTCCCCTGCAAACTCTCTGCGGTGGTATGGAGATAGTACAGGGGGATCAGGAAGGTCAACCTCACGAGAGGACCTCGCTTCAGCACCCAGATCTTTAGGAAGAGGAATCCCCGCTCTGAGCCCTTTGGAGATGCCTGGGAGACAGAAGAGAACCTATGAGAAAGTGGATACACTGGAGACTACTGTGACCAGCCAAACCAGTTTGTCTTCCCCTGAGACCCCAGGACCCCCATCTCAGGTAAACCCAACTTCCTCAAGATAATGGCACAGCATAATACTCTTCACAATGCAGTTGTAGGCATACTGCGTGTATATTTAGTATTTGGTTGATGGCAATAAATAATTATCTCTTCGTGCCCAGCAAGAGCTCCTAATAAGAGAAAAAAAGTAGAGATTACTAAATGAAATTCCTAAATTAATTTGGAATATAATTGATTAAAGAATAGTGTTCAAATTAATGCAGAAATGGCCACAAGCACCACCCTATTGGTGTTGGTTGTATAGTATTTATCCTGGTGTACGCTCGTGTTTTCCATCGTCCACTATATGGCACCCGTGGATATTACTTATTTTGTATATTTGAATCAGAAGATATGATAAACTTTATTGATCTCGCAATGGAGAAGTTTACCTTTTGAAATATCAATGATGATCTGCAAATTTAATACATGAAGTCCATGTAAACACTTAAATATGCCTCTCACCACCAGCGAGCCTGTATGCCATTGCCATCGTCAATGTAACCTGGATTAAGAAAAATAAACAAAGAGGTCTTTCAAAATATGGCCTCTGAATCAATCTGATAATTATTTTCTCTAGTATAAAATTTGTAACACTTCCCAAATAAATTTTTTTAAATACCCTTGGGTTTTGTAGGGTAAGTGTCAACAATTATGAAGAGGTGTGTAAGATAAAATTATTATAACCCATGTATTGGCATTACCTGTCATCCTCTTACCAGCACCCATCTGTGGTGCACTGCAGGTGCTACTTTCTCATGCCAGACAAGTTTGTGTATGTAGGGCCTATGCCAAACCATTGAATCTCAGGACATGACTTCCGTAGGCCAGGAAGAAGTACTGCTGTGTCCCATATGGCCCTGGATCACCCGAATGCTGTCATGGGACATGAGGGTTACAACAAATGGTTCTATAGTAGCCACGTGATGGTTAACAGCAGAGTCCAGACCAGGCCTCTTAAATCTGCAGGAATGTACCCCAGACCAGTTACATCACACTCACAAAAGTAGATTAGGAGTGGTTATGCATATTTGGACAAAATGTAAAAATCCTATAATTTGTTCTAAAGAGCTTTGGTTACCAGTTTTCAAAAACATCAGGTTGTTTCCTACTGTGGATATCCATTTGATTGAAGAACCATATCTGGACCAGCATGTCTGGCACTGATCTGCTCCTTATTACAACAGAGCCGCATTGAACAGACATGTCAGTGTGTTTTATGTTCTCTCAGTGAACGAGAGCGTAGACTCTGGCTCAGGTTGATGTTATTTCTAGCTGTTTGATGGGCTTATCACAGTTACTGGATTTCTGGTTTTATGGGCACCAAGGTGCTCTTTTATAGTCATAAAGTGAGCTGCTGAGAGCACAATGAAGTCACGTTTGAAGCATGTGGACTGATTTGTATATTTGGTAGAGTAGAAGTCTATTCTAGGATCTGGAAATGTGAAGTACAGTATTGAAACATTTCTAAACAAAAATTTTAACACAAAACATTTACTCATTAGCAATCTGCTCACTTTAACTTCTGACTGCTACTGATGTTTTGCCATGAAATTTCCTTTTCATTTGGAATTGCAATATTTAACTAGGAACGGATAAAAGAGACCATGAAAAATGTCTTTAAAAAGGTATTGATTGAAACTTCCTGTCTAAAGTTATGTTTCCTTTACGTAGGTGGGAACTCTTGAGCTTTCAACCACACTGGACGGTCACAAGAAAGGCATGGCAGATGGACGCACTGCTTCCTTAGGCCCTCACCGCACAGAAGGGGGAAAGGGAGCCGTCTCAGATGGAGGAAGAGGAATTCGGATGTCCTACCAGCTTGCCTACGCCACCCTGCGACAACCCCCGCCCCCAGAGGTGGGCATGGAGGACTGGGCCAGCAAACACCTCAACATGCACACCCAAGGCCTGTTTCGGAGGCGCGTGTCCATCGCCAACATGCTCTCATGGAACCGAGGCTCCATCAAAAAGCCCATGCTTGTCACCAGCAACCGCACCGTCCGCAAAGAGGCCTGTGAGATGTTCAAACTGGTCCAGGCCTTCATGGGGGACCGGCCCTCTCGCCTGGACCGTAGACACAGCGCACTGTTGATTGTCACAAAGTGCTGGGACCTGCCGGGACTGAGAGACGAGCTCTATGTGCAGCTGGTGAGACAGACCACGGGGAATGGGAGTCCCAGGAGTCTCGCAGCGGGCTGGGAGCTGATGGCGGTCAGCTTGGCCTTCTTTGCACCGTCGCCAAAGTTCCGCTGTTACCTGGAGGGCTACATCCAGAGGCACACGGAACCTATCAGCGACAAGAAATGTGAGTCTCACATTGAGCTACACGGTGGGTCACCTTTTTTATCTCTTCAAAACTAAGGCCAATAGTGTTTACTAAAAACAAGTGTGACACACCAGTATCTCTAAGAGTATGAGTCCAAGTGTGATCATAAAACTTATAAAAACCTAACCTATGTGCATTTTAATACCATTTGTGTTTGGTAGTACAAATCAGTAAGGCAACAAAAAATAAAAATGTTTTATGCATTTCAATTAACTAAACCTTTTGCTTGCAGTGTTCTCTGACACAAATAAACGGTTGCATAGGCCAACGTTCTTGCACTGACACGTGTCTGTTCAATCTTTGAGATTTAACTTTTGCACTTTATTTTCTTTTTAAAGTGACTCAGTTCATCCTGGACCAACAAGATCTGAAACTGAAGAAGAACTCAAAATCCAGAAAGAAGAGAAAGCAAAGCACTGATGAGGAGGACGAAGGTAAATCATAAGTCTTATTTTTGTTCGTAGTGATTACAAGTACAAGGTCATCTCAGGCATGTACCGTAGTTAGATGTAGACCAAGGAGCCCGCACATGTTTTTTTTCCCTTTTCCCTCCATGGATCTGTGCAAACCATTACAGCTCAATTGTATTGCTCCCAGTTGAACGTGCACTCAAAGAGGCACGGAAAAGTCGTGGGGCGTGCAGTTTGTACTTGGACAGTTCAGTGAATGGTTTTCACAGAAGCACGGACTGAAAAACAAGTAGGATGAGATTCTCGGGGGGCCGCGGACACAAAGGCACAGTCTGTCTGTGACTCACATCAGCGCTCTTTCTTCTTCCTCATGTCCAAGGAGCATGAGCAAAGTCATCAGCACGTGGCCGCGTTCAGAACTGCCCACACTGCCTCTTTGGTTATGAGTCCACCAGTGAGTGAAATCCAGGATCTCACTACGAACGCCACACATTGTACTTTAGTGACTCAGATTGAGGCCAAAACACTGCACTGCCTGACTAAGGGGTCAAACCAAAACCATAGCGTGGATGACTCATGACCAAGCAGCACCAGACAACTATATTTATTGCTCACTATTTACTGCTGCATGTGAATAAGGAGTTGGAGACATCCTTGAACAAGTCTGTGTTGTGACATCAAAACTTTCAAAAACAAGGTCTTGGTTAGAATTCCTAAACATTAAAACTAAAGTGATCCGTCTCTTTATGTACACAGCTTTAAGTTATTATGAAATAAAGTGTATTTGCAAATAAAGTTAATTTGCTGTGGTTTCAACTGTATTTATGAAACAAAAAGTTTTTAAAACCAGGACAAAAAGTACAGAGTTTTAAATGCAAATGGGCAGGGATTACTCTCATTTTGTTTAAATTACGGTTAATGTTTGCGTACATCAAGTTGTTTTCAGAGCACGTATTTGAACTGAGAGCTCTGGGAAAGTATCCTCCAACATCAAGGCTGCATTTCAAATTAGATGTAATTATAGTTGGGAAAGGACAGATGTGCATCTAGAAACGTGGTACTTACCAAATGGGAACATCTTGAAATGTAATCGTGTGTATCCAGAAATCAATAATGGTTTAATGTTGAAACTTGAGTATTTGATGCATAAAAATGTTGAAAGTAGTGCAGCGTGTCTATTGTGACACATTCTATCAAAAACGCTTTGGAATAAACTTAAAAACATCTGAGACAATGCTGGAGTGAAAGGCAATAATGAAAGCCTTTCACTCCAAGCTTATATTAAGTATATTAACATCACAAATCCCCCAATGTTTGTTTGTGGTGTGATATTACAATCTTATACTGAATTGAATACCACAGACTGTGATGTTTTGCCCATATCTAGTGGAATCTTCTTAGCTTTTATTTCCTTTGACAGCCTAACTTGCACACAGCTGTGTATGACTTGATATAGATGTCCCGATACAGGTGACGCGTTTAGTCGGTAGCAGACAAGGGGTTCCTCCAGAGGTGTCCTTAGTCTGCACGCTGATGAATCACTGGTGGGGAGGATGTGTTGGCCGTATCCTGTCTCAGGCTTTTGTTCAGAAGCATAAATGTTCCTCTCGGCCCCGGACAGTTTAGCCCTGTCCCATCTAATCCCCCCCATATGTTCGAACAAGACTGTCATCAGGAGTCTCCTATTACAGCCCACTCCTCTTATGCTCCATTCAACGTGTCTGGGAGAAAAACAAACTACTTGTCATTTTTATGCGAAAGAGTCTGACTCATTTATTGTTTTGGCTTCCCTCTAATGCCTCCTGCTTATGGGCTTTGTATAAGTGTTTTTGCAAAGTAGTTAAAATATATCCCTTAGTCTCAGTCAGACATTACCTGAAAATAACAATGCTGTCACTTAAATTATCTTACACGCACACAAGCATTGTAGAACGATTCTCAATTTCTATTCCTTTTGTTTTTTCCAGGTCTAGCTATTAGCACTTATGCAAAGTTTTGCCATCGGAAGCTTCAGAAAGTCGCCATCACGGGTGGGAAAAAGGTAAGACTGCTATCAAGAGGTTTCTCTGTAAATCATAGGTGATAAAACAACAATGTGAGTCAAGAGTTGGCAGTCAAAAAGACGTCATTACAGATGTGTGTGTGCTGTCATCGATACTCCAGGTGTTCATAAGAACCTGTTATTAGTGTCATAGTTCCGGCTATGAAACTTATTAAATCCCAAGTTTCTCTTCCAGGGCCTACGGAAGCCGACCCTAGAGGAGATCGACCACAGCAGACGAGCCATAGTTACCCCTTCATTGTTTGGCAGCTCTCTGGAGGAGGTTATGGAGAGGCAGAGTGAGCTGTTCCCAGACAGGAAACTACCATGGGTGCAAGTTCAGCTCTCCCAGTATGTCCTGGGGCTGGGCGGCGCTCAGACAGAGGGCATCTTTAGGTAAGGATCAGTGACAAGTCTGGACATGTTCACAGTGAATAGAAATTAGCGGCACATTTGTGTTTATGTATTGTATTAATATGATAACTAATTGAATACATTTTTATGGCATAGTAAATCCTTGTTTACTTTCAATACTTGCAGCATAGAGAAAAGAAACAAATATGAGCCTGTGCCAGCAGCCTGTGCCAGTGTTTTTTGTGTGTGTGTGTGTATATAAACTATTTCATATCAAGGTTATAATTACTTCTGTAACTTTCCTAACGATATAATTTGAAGTTTTGTTTTCGCTCTCTAAGTTCAAGCCTTTGTTTGCATGGTAGTCATGTGGCAACATTCAAATATTGTTCTTCTGGGTGTGTTCTGACCTCCCGCTCAGAGTAAACATGGGAGTGCAGGTCCCTCTAGTGGCTGCTGTGAGTAACCGTTTTGATGTTTGCTAACAGAGTGCCTGGAGACATTGACGAGGTGAATGCCCTGAAGCTTCAGGTCGACCAGTGGAGGATTCCAGAGAATCTATCAGACCCTAATGTTCCTGGTGCGCATCAATTTCATTTATCTACTTGTATTGTTTTTGCCTTTTCTGTACTCAATGCTCATGTATTGTGTGTGGTCTAGCCTCCCTAATGAAGCTGTGGTATCGAGAGCTGGAGGAGCCACTCATCCCAATGGACTTTTACAAGCAGTGCATCAGTAACTGTGACGACCCAGGGGCGGCCATCACCGTGGTCCAGTCTCTGCCTGAGCTCAATAGGCTCGTCCTCTGTTACTTCATCAATTTTCTTCAGGTAACTTTTCCATATGGAAACAGCAAGTTTATTTCCCATTTAGTTCACATTTTATAATATATCTTACTTTTTTCTTCTCCAATATTCATTTTATTTGAAACAATTTATAATGTAAAGGTGGTCAAAACCATTTAAATCATTCTTGATTGAGTAAGCTGATGTAATAATATTGCAGTTTAATATTGTCACCTCTCCTTTACCTTTCCTCTCCTTTTATTATCTTGAGTATTTGATGCATCGAAATTGTGTTGTAGTGCAGCGTGTCTATCGTGACACATTCTATCAAAAACGGTTTGGAATAAACTTAAAAACATCAACGCAAACTAAAGATAATACACTTTAAATTAATCGATATTGTTTGTAAGTTATTACAACTTTAATTATTGAGCATCTAATGGGTTTATAATCCATTGTATTAATTGACGTGTTGTTTTCTGTAGGTTTTTGCTCAACCATCCAATGTTTCCATCACCAAAATGGACGTGAATAACTTGGCTATGGTGATGGCTCCTAACTGCCTGCGCTGCCAGTCTGACGACCCACGAATCATCTTTGAGAACACTCGCAAAGAGATGGCTTTCCTGAGAATGCTCATCGTTCATCTGGACACAAGCTTCATTGAAGGAGTGATTTAGACATTAAAAAACCACACAAATAAAGAAACACTAAATGGCGTCTTTGCTTTGTTTGTTTCTGAAATATTTGATTCTCAGATGTCCTAATGTAAGCACTGTCCTTGAACACACTGGAAAGCATTACTGCTGCAGGAAAAACAAGCCAAATGTGACTTTAGGGCAGAAGCTTATTCAACAGTCTTACAGTCGTGCTGAATATGAAGTGTTGTGTGTTATGCAAATATCTTCATTAACATGTATAGAGATTATGAATATTACAAGAGTCAAAATAATGTCTTAATGGCTCGCCTGCTGGTTTCTTAGCACTGGTGATAGTTGGGCCTTTCTTAAATGGACGTGGAAAGACCAGAGCCTACAAAATTCAAAATGTGAATTGTGTATTGGTTTAACCAGTCTTCGGGTCATAAAAAAGAATTGTTAATTTTATTGGAAATGTGGTTCTCATTCTGTATTGTGGGGTTCCGGTATCCAGAACGTTACAAATCAAATTTGTATATGACCAGTGAAGATGTAAACGATTGTAGAATAATGCTTACATGTCTGCCCTCAGACATGAAAGCGTTTGTCTGTATATATGTTAATCTTATAAATAGCATTGACTTTAAAAGTGTAATGTTAAAGGATGGTGTGCCACAATAAGAAATAAAGTATTTTTGAGTTGTCCTGTAAGTCCCACCTCCAACCCAAGATTGATTCTTCTAACCACTTGTACTGTGTGTATGTGTGAGAATAATTTGTTTAAATATAAGATGACTGTCCATAAATAAAGGTTTGTTTACTGTACGACCTATGAATTGTTTTGTTCTGTTGCATTGTAGAAGTACAGTTTCTTGAACTGTCACAGCATTTAACCAACCAGACTCAATCCAAGGGGTAGGAAATTATTAAAACTTCAAACAAAATCAGTAGTGGTACTGTCTGCATGAGACACTTAAACTGCAACTGCAAACGACAACGTGTGTGTAAGAGAATATGTTGTTATAAAACACAGCATTGCTTTATTTTTATTTGTCAAAATCACAAAGGCTGCACCCAAGAACGTCTCATTCCTTTAAAATTTAGCTATGAGATTAAGCAGTTCAAAGTCTAAAGGTAACACCTTTTAAAGATGCCACGTAGGTCATACGTTATGCCGCAAAGGTCAATAAAATTAAAAGGAATTATTCCATAATTTTTTTTTTGCATTCTGATGCAGCCCATGTGTTAGTTTTTATGATTAGATATCAGGTTGAATTGCGACATCTTGTGGTATGTTGCTGCTACTACATGTTTTTTGTGTTTTTTTTTTTTTTTACAATTAAGTCACACATTCTTGTTACTTTCACTTTCTTCCATGTTGATTTTCAATGACCAAAACATTATAATCATGTGCTAAATGCTGAAGGGTTCTTAATAACTTTGGCTACTATTTTAGGCCATTACAAACAAAACGCGACAATTAAAATGGAAAAGTGAGGTCTGGTTTTGTCACTAGGTTTCACATGCATTTATCATTCGATCAGCTTTTTCAGACAAGAGGACCTCCCTCACTCAGCTGCTCCCTGGCCAAAGCATCATATAATGACTCACAGGGCTCTTTCTTACAAGCGTACAAAAGATGACATGTTTTCTAATAAATTGTGGATTCGTTGTGAACTGATTTCTTCGCGAAATTTTACTTTTCTGTTACAACAGAAATCTAAAGCCTTTGTCACAGATTTAGATCGGCTTTTTCAGACAGAAATGTGGGCACCCCATGAATCTATTATAATAACGGGACCACCCTCACTCAACCCCAAATGTCAAATAGTGACTCACAGCGCTCTTTTTCTAAGCAAAAATTAGATATGTTATTTTATTTTAGTATAGTTATTGTTCATTTATCTTGATTTGTGTGCTCCTCATTCCTACTGTTCTGTAACTGGTGATACAACACTGAAATTTCCCCACTGTGGGACGAATAAAGGATCTCTTAATCGTAATCTTTCAAGCATGAAAAAGATAACATGTTTTCTAATATAATGAAGACAGTTTGTTGTGATCTGATTACTTAACAACATTTTACTTTTCCAGGACTCTTTTTGTCGTGACAAACAAAATATATACAGTCTCTGAGACAAACAGAATAGATTATTTATGAAAAGTTCGGTGACCCAGCTTTAACTGTTTTACTACACCATCTTCCAAGTAGTAGGCTGGGAGTGTGCGCATGCTCAGAGCGGTGGTCTGAGCGCGCGCCGGTGGAGCAGTCACACCACGGCGGAGAGAAATTTAACTGCGTGGCCCGGAGCAGGCGCGGGACAAGCCGATTCTGGGCTTTTCACTGGAATTATTCTGCTTTATTTGGACTCACACCTTCGCACACGCACTGGGGACAAGGTAGGACATGCCATCCGCCTTCTTTCTCTTGCTATGATTTCCAACAACGCCATAAATACGACCGCTTGATCGCAGCATGTCGGCTTTTGGAGTTGAAAACAAACGTGACGAAGTAGTCCAGGCTTGGCTATGCTCTTGCTTAGGTCTCACTTTGTATACATGCGTGTCATTGTGAGAACGTATCGCTTTGTCTTGCACGATAGAAGTGAAATTCGTTGTAAATTCTGTCTTGAAAGTCGTGCTCTTTATTCCCACGCTGCATGCGAGAAGTGCGAGGGGACTAGGCCCACAGCGAGGCCGCGCTCTGAGCTGTGAGTGACAGCTGCAAGAGCCAGTTAAAAGCAGAAAGCCCACCCACAACAGAAGGGCTCAACCAATCGCAAACGTCTATGCCCATTTGTCAGCGCAGTTACAAAACACCGGACAATGTATGTTTGTGGAAATTACGCTTCATGAGAGTATGGAAAAGTCGCTGTATAACACATTATAAAATAACTACAAAGCCCATGAGAATACTGGGAATCCCTATTTGCCATACTCTTTCTGCAATAATAGTTGCACCGCATTCCCAGCCTCATGCGAGTATCTGCACATCTTTTCGCTTATCTCAAAGTCATGTCAGCGCCATTGATAAATACCTTGCTCTTTAATCTGCGACTACGTATATTGTCCTTATAATGTATTGTTTTACTTTGAGGATTGAAATACTGTGTATTGAGGTGCAGTTGGCATTGTCCCCCACTCCCCATTGTGTCTGCACGTGAAGGATCAGGCCCGTGAACACGTGGGCAGCAGGAGCAGGAGCAGGAGCAGCATATCCGGGTTGGGCAAGACTTCAACACCGTTTATTTTAGATGTGGGCGCGCTGTGTTTCACGTGTACGGGTAGAGATACGCAGGCGTAATGTAAACACTATGATCGTTCGTTTAAAACATCCTGAAAAGACGTTAGCTGGTCCATGCCCACGCAGATGCCGTAAGATTGCATCCCTGAGCGCAACGAGCAGTCTATGGCAGTCGGACAAAGGAGGCGCTGTAGTCAAGCTTCTTTACTGTATATTCTTATTACGACAATATTGATAGATGCATAGCAAATAATGGTGCTGCTAACACCAGAAAAGTAACATTATATTTGATGTATGCATGTATTTAATTTTTATGTATAAAAAATCTTTCTTTGTTTTCATATTGGTTGCACATTTCATCATCATCTGAGGCATGGCTCACCTGTATGCTCAAAATGGAAAGGCACAGTCAACCAATAGCAGAGAATGTGAAAACTACCCACAAGACCTTAACCTTTTGAACACCGCGCGATTCTTACTGCCTGTAATATAATTTCCGTAGTTACTAGTTAGTGAATGGAGATGGTGTGAACTTATTGTAAATTGCTCCAAATGTGTTTGTTTTTATCCTGCAAGTAATTTTGCATGACTTAAAATCCTGACATTATCCAGTAAATAGGGTAAAACCACTGGTTCACACATTAATGCAAAGTCACTTAAATTCAGTTTAATTTGTTTAAATTGGCAATATGGGGTTTTCAATTCTTAGCTCAGCATTTAAAAATACATGTTAATCCCATTATAGTGAAAACCCTATTACCTTTAGATGTGAAATTTACTCTTTGCCTTACCTCTCTTCACATGAGTTACAAGTTACAAATTGGGATTTTACTTGTAAGTAGTAAGTAAGTAATCTTTATTTATATACCTTTTTCACTGCACATCGGAGTCTGAAAGCGGTTTACAATTGTTATTTTTGGGAGCGGGGTCGCCAGTACAGGAGGCACATGCCAGACCTATTGTACATATTTTTAGTGGTAGGGGAAACCGGAGCACCCGGAGGAAACCTACGCAGACACGGGGAGAACATGCAAACTCCACTCAGAAAGGCCCTGGTCCAACCGGGATTCGAACCCAGGACCTTCTTGCTGAGAGGCGAGAGTGCTATCCACTCAGCCACCGTGCCGCCCACCCGTGTACACACTGTATTAATTCCTCAAGTGATATTTATTTGATGCACATTAATAAACAAATGTAAATTGCCGGACTATAACAGATTAAAGACCAATGTTCATCTGCAGTCCTTAGTAAAGCATAGAAACAAGAAAATAATGCCTACAGAAGGAATCGGATAATATAGACGCCATAGTAACAAGATAAGAAAGGAGTTAAGAAAATATGAAGAGCCAGCTTTAATAATCACACGACAGGTTGGATTTCAGACATCACATAAGCTGAGTTTTGAAGTTGAGAAGTGTTCATCTCTCCTTCATCTCCAGAGACTGTTCCAGATCTTTCTGGCTCTCACAGACCGCATTCTGTCCAAGTATCTCAGGGTCTTGTTCGTGAGTGAGGGAAGTATGGAGTCAGTGATTGACTGGCTGATGGGTGCAGTGATGGGGTCGCATCAGTTCAACTGTTGTGGTGAAGAGGTAGCTGCGTCTGCAGTCAAATCTCTTGACTTATCTCTCAATCGGTCATGAGCTTAAATGACTGATTGGAAAAGATTGCAGATAAAAGCAGCACAAATGCGTATTTTCCATCAATTTAATGCTGCTAAGGAGTGGGCAATAATGACAGAAATTATTATCTATTTTCCTAGCAATTCATGCCTCAACATTTCTTGCCTTAGCACAGCAAGAAAAGTCAAAGAAATGACTACATTAATTATACACATGTAAGATAAACCTAGATTTTGAATGGATTTTAAATGACTACTTAGACTACATTTAGAAGTAAGGCTCATTGTATCTAGTTATGGTCTTGTTGTTGTCTGACTGCAGTGCACACTTTAGACAAGGCTGCAGTGACGTGTAATGTTGACCGCCTTCTCTGTCTGTCTGTGTGTGTGCACAGGAAGCAGAAATCATACTGATGTGGCCAGTATGAATAAGACACCCCCTAACAGAAGAGGGATTACATTTGAGGTGGGGGCTCAGCTAGAGGCTAGAGACAGCCTCAAGAACTGGTGAGTCATGGCCTTCACTAGTCTTCATCATCTCATTTTGTCATATTTTCAAAACAATTAAAGTAGTTTTACACTTTAACACAAGTTTGTGTGACTGACGTAAGAGAGCTTTCGGCCTTACAAATGTGCAGAGGGCTTGGGCAAGTGTTCAAATGGCAGTCGCATTTTGCTGAGCTTAAAACCCAGCTCCAGGACTAGTTTAATGAGGACCAGCTCCCACTGAAGTCTAGCCTTTGACTGAAGACCTCAGACTAGACACGTGATTGTTCAGATGTGTCGACCTGTGATGTTTTGTCATATATATATTTATATATAAATTAGGAGTGTGACAATATATCGATATGGTGATGTATCGTGATACTTTCTCATGCAATCAATTATCGATATGCTTTTGCTAAGTATCGATTTTTATTTTTTGAATTTATTTTTATTTTATTTTATTTTTGAATTTTTTTTTAAGCTTTACTTGAAAAAAAAATGTTGTTACTTAATATATGGCTAATTTACGCATTCTACAACTTCTGTAGAATGTTCATATTGATTTTATTGGCTATGAGACAGATTAAGATTTTTACTAAAATCGGCATTTTTGCTTGTTCACTTAAATGGATAAAGTGCCATGTACATTAATCTTGAAATAAAGTGTATTCCTTCACTTAATTTGCTCCATAAATATAAGAAAAATATTATCCTTGGTATATTTTTGACCAATATATCGCCGCTGCATCGTCATATTGTGAGATAATCGTTATCGTGAACTTTGTGTCGCAAATCGTATTGTATAGTGAGGCACCCTGAGGTTCCCACCCCTAATATATATTAATATTTTATATATATATATTTATATAATAAATTTTCTATAGAAATAAATGAATCTGAATCTTTAAAGCATACTTTGATGCTTGGTTAGTTGGACAATTATTTGTTCGATCAAACGATTAGTTGAGTTCACATTTTCATTTCATTCTGCAGTTATTACAATTCTGTTGCAATCATAAATCTTCCTCGCATGATTAAATCTCAGTATCTCAAAAAAACAAAACAATCAACTATTCAGCTATAAGTTGAAATTATTCTTGTGCCAGCTCTACTGCTGACCATCCTCGTTCATTGCAGTGCGTACTCTCCTGGGATGATAAGAGTTGAGCTCACATGTAAACATGAAGTGGGCCAATGGTGGAGACACTAATGCGGATGTCCTTTGTGAAAAAGGGAAGCACTGGAGAGAGATGATGTTTTCAGTGCCTGAGTGTGCGTTTGGCAGAACAGAACACATCTGGGTGCCATTCGGAAAGATTTGTCTCTGTCCCTAATAGGCCTGTCACGATTACAAATTTTGCTGGACGATTAATTGTCTCAGAAATTATTGCGATAGGCGATAGTATTGTCGTTCTGAGATCATTTTCATCTAATACAATGATAATGATGCAATTACACCTTTTCAAAGAGAAATACACTTGTATTTTTAAAGACCACCGCCGGAAGTGGCGGAAGTAAAAAGCTGCTAGCTTGATGCTAACATAATGCAGCTCTGCAGCGTCTCTTTGTCCTGAGACCTTACAGAGACTTTATATAACAGCAGTATGTGTTCACGGAGGTGCGTCATACGTTTATTTTATTATTAAACGGTTCTTCTGCATCGGCGAACACGCTAACGCTAAATGTGGTAGTTTAGTCACTACTAGAGCCTGAATGAGAACAACTAAGTACTGTGTCCCCCGTTGTCAATCCTGGTTAAGTCCTGATTTAGGTCCTGTTTTGGCTGTATTTTGTATTTTTGAGTTATTTCAGTCTGCTCGCGTCACACGTGACCACTTTGCGGCTCTCTGACCAGAGAGGGAGAGGGAGAGAGAGACGGGAAAACAAACAAGCATGCAAATGGAATTAATCGCGGCCAGGAAAACTATTGAGCTAATTTTAATTATCATGCGATTAATTGATTTATTGAATATCGCGACAGGCCTAGTCCCTAACGGTAGAGGCCACAGGTAAACGAAAGGACCGCCACCAAGTCTCTACATACATCAGCTTTGTTTGTTTGGAACCCTGTTGTCATGGAAATAAAAGTGAAGGGCTTCTGACCCCTTTACTGCGAACAGAACTTATCTGAAAGTCAAGTAAATCTAGTGCAGTAATGTGTAAAAATCTTTAACCTTCGTTCTTCTCTTTATTGTGCCCTCTCCCAGGTATCCAGCAAACATAGAAAAGATTGATTATGAAGACGAAAAAGTGCTTATCCATTATCGGCAGTGGAGCCATCGTTATGACGAGTGGTTTGACTGGACTAGCCCATATTTACGCCCTGTAGAGCGGGTCCAGCTAAGGCGACGGGGCCAAAACAGTGACGGCTCTATGCCTGTAAGTAGTCTCTCTCTTACAAGGACTGTATTTTCAACTGGATATAGACCAAACAACTGTGATGTAATTAAATGTTTTTACTTATAAGCGTATAGTCATCAAGTGGTGTATGCTAAAATAAGTTTAGGGTCTAAGCAAACATTGTATGTGGTTTCCAGGGGTTTCATGTGAATGACAAGGTTCTTGCGAGCTGGTCTGATTGTCGATTCTATCCGGCCAAGGTAACAACCGTCAACAACGATGGTATGTTTTCGATTGGATAAATTACCTTTTGATGTACAAGACCGTTTTACTAATTTGTCTTTTCTATTTGAAAGGTTCCTATACAGTAAAATTCTACGACGGTGTTGTCCAGACAGTAAAGGGAATACACGTGAAACCCTTTATTAAAGAAGTAAGTTGTTCTCTGTGGTCTAGTTAATGTGATTGGCTAATGTTTATTTATATATTTATGTTGCATCAATAGAGGGGGGTTGGGAGGCCCAGGTCGGGAGACAGGATGGTAAGGAGTGGTCCAAACCGCAGGGACAGGAAGTCTCACCAAAACGGAGGCCCAAAGATGAAGCATGCCAGACGCAGCACTTCAGATCAGGAGGACGACAGCAGTGAAGAGGAAGATCATGTGGAGCAGATGAAAGCAAATGGGGATATTGAGTCGTCATCTTGTCATGAACAAAATGATGTGTCCAACCATAACGGAGACACAGAACTGTCTAATGGAGTCAAGATGGAAAGTGACACGTGTGATTTCAATGGAGAAATTGCAAACGAGGAAGGACTCTCTGAACAAAGAACAAAGCCATACTCTGACTTTTCAAAGCCATATACAGACTCTAATGACATTTCCACACTGACGGAGACAGGTTCCATTACTATGACGACCGCACAAGCCAATGGCGATGCGGAAGAGAAGCCAGTCGGTCAAACGGAGAGCACGCAGTACCCAGTAGACGTGCCAACTCTTCAACCTGCTAAACGTATGTGCCCCAATTAAGTCATTTATTAAAGTAAGCAATGAATGTGTTGAGCTAACAGATTAATGTGTGCTTTAGCTATCAGAAAGCAGGGTTTCCACAACCCCAACAGGTTCAGCAGAGAACCATGTAAGTTCCATTTATTCTTTTTTTTTAATTAAGAAATTAATGTAAAGCAATACATGATTCTGACCAGATTCTAACCTCTTTTGGCTTTTTGTGTGTGTTCTATTTCAGTGTACAGAGTTATCAAAAACCAACCTCCTCCCGTCTTGTCCATCAACCTTGACCACAATCCTTTTAAGTGCAGCGCGCCTGGGTGCTCAAAGTCATTCCGAAAAGCCAAGCTTCTGCACTATCACATGAAATATTATCATGGGGAAGAGCAGCTTCCAGAGCTGGAGCGTGGCTCGCTCCGAAACGTCCACACCAGAACAGAGGATAAACCCACCGCTGTCTTTGAAGGTCCCAAAAGAAGGCGCACAATCTCTGCCACAATGCGTGAGTTACCTTGAGGGAAACCATGTTAAAAACATTATGTTGCAAATGCAGAATTTAACTTCAACTTAAGCAAAGATTCTGCATTATACATAGAATCTACTGTAAATGCATTTTGGAAAAAGACCAATGTCATGGTTTAATGAAGATTTAGCAAAAGAAAAATAGTTATAGTTCAGTAATGTTAATGGGCACACAATATGTCTGAATTTGTAAAATGCAATACCCATCTTCTTCAGAATCTGTAGGAATGGTTACTGGCCCTAAGGCAGGAGGCAGACGAACCTCTGCTCCACCGGCTGTTAACGCCCAAGCGCATCACCAAAGAGCGCTGCTGAGGGAAAAGAGCAAAGAAAACCAACTGGATAGAAATGTATTTCAGCCTGACAAAGATGACAAATCAGCCTTTGATATGGGTCAGTAGTACTGAACCACTTTCCACAACAATATCTTTATATTAATTTGTATGCTATTTCACAGGCTCGGTTAAAGACAAATTTAGGGAAAAACCGAAACAAAAAGACTTTCTTCGAATTAAATTGAAAAAGAGAAAGAAAAAAAAGAAGGCGATGTCTGGTAAGTGGACCTTCTCTTGTTTCTCTGCTGCTCTTTTGCCTGCATGTGCCTTGACTGTCATCACAAAGACTCTTCACCTGTTTGTTGGTGCCGTGGACTTTGTGTGCAGGAAATATCACACCTTTCTGCCGGCTCCTGCATCTTCAAATTATGCAAATCACCATTTTTATTTTTATTTTTTAAATTTATTTTATTTAACTTTTATTTTAATTTTTTCCTTGTCCAATACAAACACATAATTCCGGTTCATAACGTTGTAGAAATAGTGCTTCATTGTTTGAAATTGTGCGCACACTACAGGAAACTACAGTATTTTGATTACTAATGTTTATTTTGCTTAATCTATAAAAGTGACACATTGTTCTGCTTCTGATGACTTCCTTTTCTATTACCAGACTACACGGGTAGTGAGGAGAATATTGACTTATTGGGTCATCAGGCCAAATTGAATTTGACGCTCAAAAGCCCCCACACACACATTCAAAACCCTGAGACCTGGCCGCGCAGGCCTGGAAAGGCCTTGTCAGAGCAGATACAGGAGGATGGTGGGTATTTATTTATTTATTTATTTTATGGGTTTTTAACATACATCTTACATTTTGCATTCCCATCATATGCTGGCAGTTTTGGGTTATTGAGTTGTAACCGTGTTTAATAAGTGGTGGAAGCAGCCTCCTTCCATCCGGGATAAGGGGCTCCTCTCCAGAAATCACTGCGTGGTCGCCGTTCATAATGGGCCCAGGGTTAGGGTTAGGGAACTTTCAGTTGAACAAAACCATTGTAGATAATGTCCATTCTTTAAAAAGTTGTATGAAATCCTATGCCTGAATGTGGAGCAGATGCCTTTTTCTCAAAGCAAATATACCACAGTAGGAGAATAAGTAGTCCGACACAGAAAGCCAGTGTTGATCACTACAGCAGCCAACACTACAGCAGCTATGTTTAGCAACATATCTACTGCTGCCATAGTGGAACAGTATATTCAGCATGTAGCCCAACAAACCACATTGAGACACTTTTTGTTCCACCTGTTCCACGATGCGGAAGGTGCTCTCATTTGCATAACTCATTTTGCGCTTTACCTTCATTTTTCTGTTTCCTCTGGTTTCAATCCATCTTTTACTAACAAATTTAAATGTATGTGAAAAAAAGAAAAAAGGAAAGATGGATTAAATCCTTGGCTTTTTTGCTTACATACCTGGCACACAAGCTTTGACTTGATTAATTCTAAAGTAACAGATTTAACATTCTATAATATAAACTACTTGGACAAACTTTGGACTGTGTCCTGATTTATAGATGAGGATAGTTTAAGTGACTGGTCAACGGACAGTTGTGGGTGGACTGATGATGACTTCGAAGATCTGGACGTCACCACCCCACCCCTCAGCATCGACTCTGGAGCTGTAGACACAGGTGACCAAGAAATAGTACGCTGCATCTGTGAGGTGGAGGAGGAGAATGACTTCATGATCCAGGTGGGTGGCTGATGTCCGAGTGATAGTCTGGCCCTTCTGTTTCTGGTATTTAAGTAATGGTTTCGATTTTGTGTTTTAGTGTGAAGAGTGCCTGTGCTGGCAGCATGGCACCTGCATGGGGTTACTTGAGGACAATGTCCCAGACATATATACCTGCTATATTTGCAGAGATCCTCCAGGTGAGCGGACGGGAACAGGTGCTGTGTCCTCTCCTATACCACATTTCAATTGGGCTGTTTTTAAGGTAAAGCTGGGACACCTGATATTAAAAATTTGAAAGGAGTATGTATTTATATTTGAGCTAATCTGTTCCTATCTCTTACAAAGTAATCTGGCCATGATTAGTGTTCATATGGCTAAAGGTATGCACACCACTAGCACATCTTAACTGTTCTTTTCTAACAAAATTATGTTGATTCACTTTATAGACTTGCTTTCACTACTTTGCTTGAGGCAAAGTAGTGAATTTACAATATTGCAAGAAAAAGAATTTGGTGTCCCAGCTTGAATAAAAACAAGTTATTTTATTTGTGATGGTGTTGATTATTGAATTTTTTTTTTTTTAATACTTTTTGTAGGTCAGAGACTGAGCCAGCGCTATTGGTATGAACGCGAGTGGTTGAGCAATGGTCATATGTTTGGCCTTTCATTCCTGGGAGAGAACTACTCTCGTCAGAATGCTAAAAAAATCACTAGCACTCATCAGCTGTTAGGAGATGTGCACCATGTGCTGGAGATGCTTAATGGCCTACGGCTCAAAATGAGTGTTTTACAGTCAGTACCATTTCATTAATTGTGGAGCTAATTGTGACAAATTAAGATTCATTTGGCTAACTATACTGTTATTGATTGTGAAGGGACAACAGCCACTCTGATCTGCAGCTGTGGCGCCAGCCCTGGAAACAGGCGGAAAGGACACGTTTTCACACAGACTCTGATTCATGTCGAGGCAGTGATCTGGCTCCTTCTCCAGCCGCTCCTGACGAGGATCTGAGCCGAGGAGAAGGCCTCATATCAAACGCCCTGGAGAAGCTGAGTCGGGCCACCACAGCCCACAACTCCTCCTCATCCTGCTCCTCCTCCCCATTCCCCTCTTTTCAGGACTCTTACATTACCAGTGACCACTGTTACCAAAAACCAAGAGCCTACTACCCGGCTGTGGAGCAAAGACTCGTAGTGGAAACTCGACAAGCCTCAGAAGTAGACGGAAACCTGAGAAATACTGAGGAGCTATTGGAGCCGGAACAGCGTTACAGGAGTCTGCTGCCTGATTCAGAGAAACCCAAGACAGCATCCACCTGCAATAAGGTGATAAAGACTATATACTATTGGTATTAAATAATTATTACACAAACACAATTTAAAGCATTTTTTTATTATAATTGTATTCTATATTTTTTGTTTTGAGAGAAGTGGGGCATTATCTTGCCTAAAATATGCTGATATTCTTTCCTGACAATATCTCCTAGTCAGGGTCAGCAGTACCCTTATCCTGCCGCAAACTGCCTCAGGAGTACTGCTAGCACACTTGGCTCAATAGGACTTGATCTTAAGCCTTGCAGCAGGCAACCTAATGGTGGGACCAGCACCAAACCTTGCTACGAGCTGCTACTTCAGGATGTGGGTTCATTTCACTCAGACTCTGTCAATGCCAAAGAGCACAAAGTTCAAGAATCTGCATACAGCTATGATCCTCACTCAGTTGAATACAGAATTAATTTTCCTTAGATGTCATGGCCTGGTTTTGGCTATGACAACCATATAGTTGTGGGACCTTAAACTGACTGGGGTGGGTGTGTTCTCAGGTGGGCTTCAGTCAAGTTGTAGAAACAGCTCAACGATCTGTAGAAACAGGAGCATCTGAGCGGAATATTGCATGTTTTAGCAAAGTGTGGGAATACTTATCTGTACATGTGACGTTTTAGACTTTATTTACTATCTTATGAAATGGCAAGGGGTATTATGAGTAGATTAACAAAAAAATACAATACAACAATATAAACAATATTGACATTGACATACTTTCAAGACGCTCAATAAATACAAATTAACTCGCATATATTCCCATTTGTTCTGATGGTTGTAGGTTGGTAACACCTGGTCACAAGAAGTAAAGGAAGAGCGGAAGCATGCGGAGGACAACAGCCAGCACCATCAGCAGTGGCAACTCAACTTGCTCGATCACATTGATGCTGTCCAAGATCAGGTTTCTTATAGAATGGACTTCATCGAAAGGGAACTTGATGGTAAGCTCACATTAATTAAAGCTAAAGATGATGATGGCTTAACTTTGCTACATTGGTTTATCCTCTTATCAATGCTTTTTTTGTATTGTCAGTGTTGGAGAGCTGGCTGGACTACACTGGTGAGCTGGAGCCCCCAGAGCCACTTGCTCGATTACCACAACTGAAACATCGCATTAAACTTCTGTTGACTCAGTTAAGCAAGGTGCAGCAGATCTCTCTGTTCAGCTCCACATGAGGGCGCCATCTGACAGCTCAGCAGGCCTAATGCTCAGCAGCTGCATCTCTTCTGCTCTAGATTCAGCAGGGATCACATTCTTCATCACAAGACTGAGATTGTCAGCAATTTTCCTGAAGTTTTTGCATGATTGAATCCGATGCTACTAAAGTCTGGTTTTGTCTGAGAAAATTTATCTTAAATCATGAAACATTGGCCTCAAGACCCATGTGAATAAAACTTGTAAGAATAGACATGTTGCTACAAACCTTTATGCCTTTCACTGAGCTACTGCTTTAAGATTGTCCTGTCTCTTACCGCAGAGTGTACCACAGTCAATATTCAGAAGACACCTTTATCTCCCCCTTTTTATCGACAATGTTCTGTTGTATTTTGAGCCACCTGTCATGTAAACGCATTCTGTGTTTTCTTTGTTACTGGCTTTCTCTCCATGTCTATCTGTGGCACTTGAATTGACCGTAATACTATTATTAACTTGTCTTGTCACTTTTTATCTTGTGGCTTCGTTGTACAATAGTGCAGTAATGTTAACCTTTTTTGTTTTATTTACAGATTATGGGTTGTATTATAACTTTTTGTTACGAACTCCTTATTGACCTCAAACAATTCCAAATACACAGATCCTATAGCCTACTGCTGTGCTGCAGCTGCCTGGGAAGCGGCGTGATGTGGAGAACAATGCAAAACAAAATTACTGGTAGAGAAATAAAACAATTACAGAGCCTAATGTTGTATTCATTTATACTGTTATAAATTCAAGATGTGCTTTATTGAACACTTTTGACAAGCCCATAAAATGTTTTCAGACTCTTGAACCTTTTGCAGTTGGCATGTAATGTATACAAAAGGCTAGTGTAATTATTTCAGTGGCGATCTTGTGAATGTAGGAAAATCAACCAAAATAATTTGGAGGCCACACTTCAAGATTGACGGTTTTATTCATGTGTAATTAAAACGTTTAACTCTTATGTCTTGTATGTGTATTTTAATTGAGAGACCGTTTTTAAATGTATTCCAGTCCATTTACTCAAAATCAATATTTACAAATCTGAAAAACGTGTGTACGCAGTGCTTTTGGACCCATTCATATGGAATTAGCGATCCATTTTTTTTTTGTATCGGCGTGCAAGACGGGTAGCTGGGATGGGAGATTTGTCGGCTTTTCTTTGGTTCACTGGATAATTTTCATGTTCCAATCCACGGTCAAGAGGATGAGACCTCGGATAAATTAGGCTTATATTTTATTTGTATCTGTATATTTTCTACTTTATGTTGCCAAGAAGCGTATCTTGATATCAGAGGATTGTCAGCAAATAAGTGCTCACTGATACAGATGTGTGAAGAATATTTGATAAGAGATTGGTCTAATGAGTGTATACACAGAGTTGTATATTTTTAGGTTGAAATATAATATATTACATTCATGGGTTGAATCCATCAAAATGGCAGGGGAAACGAAAACGAAAATGCGTCAGTTTGGCCTATTAAGTCCACCCAGGGCGAGAAAAATATCGGTTAAAGGTTGCTCCATGTTCCTTTATGCTGTCAAGAGATTTTTTATATGATTGAAAGACTACAACATGAAGCCTATAACAGGGAAATAATTCCACATGGTAAACTGTTTCACGTATCACGTATCACGTAACGATCCTCTACAAAACAATACACTTATTTCATGCGCTAATAAAATAACAAAGATTAAACGTACATACTACATGGTACAGAGATGCGCACAAGCCATTTTAACGATCGGTGTTGCCATGGAAATTGCCGCGCCATCTGGTGGTTGAAACTAATATCGCTCAATATAAATATTGTATTCAAATGTGTACATATGGTAACCTTGTGTATCAATCAATAATCAATTATCATTGATATTTATTATTTAAATATGCCGGCCCATATATTATTATTAAACCAGAAACTCAGCTCTTTCGGGACATAAGTAACTGTCAGGTGCTGTAGAAAAATTGTAGGCCTATGCTTGTTGGAGGGGTATATATTGTCAATTTATCACCGTGTGATCGCGTTCGAAATGTGTTATTATATAGTATTATGTCTACACTAAACTAACGTGTTTTATCCACGATGTAATTTTACCATGACATATCCACATGGGGTCTCTCTCATGACAATCCTTGCATTGGCACCAAACAGTATATTTATCTCATGTCTTTTATTCCATTCCAAGAGTTTTCAATACTCTAAAACACCTTTCTAGCCTTTATCACGCCATATCGCCTACAACGACCTTTGATGCTCGAGTTTTTTTGGAGCAGAGTGAGACGTCCTTTGCAGCACTCCTTCCTGCGAGTAGCGCCGCCTCCTCCACCACAATCTCTGCGCGTAGTTTCGCCCCAGAGTAGCTTCGGAAACACAGCAGCGAAAAGCAGAGAAAGAGGCGGTCAGCAGCAACGGCAGACACCAAACTTCACTCCATATTTTGGCGACAATTAACTTCGATTATCCAAAGATAAATTGATTGGGAATACATTTTGAATCTATCAGGTACGTACAACGTGAATGCTTCGCGTCTGCGTCTTGTCCTGCATCGCTTTGACGTTAGAAATGTGCGCTATAACACTGGAGTTCGCCAGTGGGAGAATCCTAATTGTGTTAAGTGTCGTGGTGTTATGTTTTCATCTTTTAAAACACAATATTGAGCACAATATTGAGTTGATTATTTCACAAACTAGTGACTGCTACGCTACGGTTAACGCACTCGGGCTTAAAAGGACAGCGGCATTTTGAACGTGTTCGTTTTTCATTTACTAATCTTTTTACACACATTTAAAGCTTTCCATTCTCTGCCACATGTCTTCAGACTATCAGGTGAATGCTAACTTCAGATTGTGTTGCCATTAACGAGGCCCGTCACGACGCTTTATACAACGGTTCCCCCTGCATCATATATCAATAAAGCAGTGGATCCTGGCGAGCAGTGGATGGATGTATACAACTATCATAACCTGTTCATTAAATCTACCCTTTATTTTCACTTTACTAACTAAATTGTGTAATCTACTTTTGTGGCTTGTTGCATTTTTAATAACTTATGTCTGTATAGTAACCTGATAAACTGAATTGAAGGTTATCGCACACGTGTAGGCACAGGTATCTTTGTTTTATCCACTACTAGCCATGTGTTTGATTCTATGGTGTAGTATTGTAATGTACAATCCCAAGTGGTGAATTGACAATAAGATAGACAATGTCACTGAGCATGGGAAGGTCACACTAAAATGTTTTTCTTTCCACGAGTGTTGTCTGTTATATGTGCCAAAATCAAATTAGTAAAACTTTTGAAGTGACTATAACTCTAGGTATTAGTGGAGGCGTTCGAAAAGTTTGTTTTGTTTGTTTGATATAGGGTTAATTTTACATCTGTATTGTCTCCCTCCTTTTATTATCTCCTGGGGTCTGAATGGAGTTTATACTTGAAACAGCAGCCTTTGTTGACACACCTTTTGTGGATTGTTCGTTGAACTGTTATCAGTATTCTTTATATTTTGATGTAAACAATTTAACAGTTACCTGAAGGGAGCTCATCGAACAGTTAATGCAGATACAGTGGGGTTGACTTTTCTCACCAATTGATGATAATAATAAACTTCTATATGTATGTATTTATTTCCAGTCAAATCAAACATTACCCAGGACCAGCTTTAAGTCTCAAATTAATGTAGTCTATAAATGTATGATAAAGTTAACCATTTAGGCGCCAAAGTAGTGGAATTGCTACATGAACCCCTGAATCCAGGATACTTTATACAGTGACCTGGCTTCCTACAATTTTATTTAAATTTTATTTGTGATCTCTCTTCTGTTCTTATCCAGTACTTTCTGTCATGACATTTTGTCCATGTATAATGATTAAAATATCTATCCCCTCAACAGTGTAGGCCTGTATGCACCGTAATTTGCAGGCAACACTATTCCTCTGTTGCCAGGTCGTAGGGGTAGCAGAGACACCCAGACTTCCCTATCCACGCACACTTCCTACAGCTCATTCAGGGGAATCCTGAGGCATTCCCTGGCCAGCTGAGAGACACAGTCCCTCCTGTACATCCTGGAACAACCTGGGTCTTTCCCATTCCCTCCTCCTCCCCAGGGGTCCAAGTGGCATCTGAAACAGTTGCCTCTACTTGATGATTGCAAATGAAATATTGAAATTTTGCAATATGGAGAATCTGTTAAAAAAAAAACATTGTTTGTGTTTACAATCCAATTGGAAACGCATCATGCACAATTAATAAAAGGCATCAAATTGCGAACACGTCTGTGATCTGAGAAGAGGATTTCTAGATGGATTCATGGACGTGAGTCTTGGGGAAATGCTCTTAATCTGGATGGAGAAGTGATTAAGTAACTGCTTACACTGTCTGTGCTGTTTTCTATCACCTCAGCGGTAAAAGTAGGATTGAGCCAGCTCTATAGGATGGACATGACTGCCTCTAAAAATATCTTCCATTCTGTAAAGGCCCACAGCTTTTTCTGTAGAGAACCTAATGTTTAATCTTTCACCCCCTGTTTTATATTGGGTTTAAAATATCTTTCTTTCTTATATTTATTTAAAACTTAACCCTAACCCTGGTTTCACAAGACACAGTCCAGTTGTGTTAGTAACAGAAGTGCCCTTGTAATTCAATCTGTTGCCAGCTTTGAGTTACAGCTCAGGTGCCCCACATATGCTCCTGCTTTGACAAATGCACACTTTCATTTTGCTTTTATTACTTACAACTCAAGCTTGATGATTCTAAACATTTCGCAGTGACACAAATACTACCTTTTTACTGTTAACTTGAACCTGTTAAAAGAATATCTAAGTGGCCCCAACACTACACCAGTTCATCTTTTGCAGTAGATTCTTTCTGCGTGCAATTTTGCATGCTTTTTAAATGGCATGCTTCTCATGTGCCGCGTGAATACTCAACAACATATATTGCTAGTATTCCTTTTTTTGTCAGAAGAAAAGTTTTGTGCCTTGTGTGCTTCACAGTGATATCTGTAGCCCTCTGCCCCTCAGTGCTGTGTCCCCTTTTACAGTGTCTGCACGGCTTTTGACAACATCTCTCAGTCCCTACAACAACAAGGTTTGATATTTATCGCACAGCAGCATTTGTGAGTTCAGGTG